TGTTTTTTGTCCTCTCAGAAAAGCTGATATTGGCAGAAAGCTTTTACACACTAGATAGGGAGGCACGTCTGCCTTTGTCTTATTGAAGCATTTTTTTCTCCATGAAAATAATTGAACGAACCGTATGGTTTTGTTTGTGTCAGCGTAGGTAGTACCATAAGTTGTATGAGAGGCAAAGAACTTCAAAGATCATGTTCATTGCATATATCACATGGCAGGCAGATCTTATGAACCAAAAGCATAAAACATTTTACATTTTGATGCTCATCTCTTCTCTTCAGAACCATAAGATTTCCCAACACAACACAACACACGAGACTTGTTATGTTTCAAAATTTGTAAGCTGTGCAAGGTTTTGATTTTTCTTTGACATTTGAACTTTTTTGTTTTTGTTTTGGTACGTCCTTTAAACTTTTTTGTTGAGTAGAGTAACTGTGTAAACAGCAAACAACAGTGATTAAATATTAGCAGCTGAGAGAGGCACACTGCGTGAGCTGCATGAAAATTTGAAAATTTTCCTGTTCCTGCAGTTATAGATAGACATAAACAGATAGGTTTCTTAACAAAGTAAACAAGGCATTAATAACTGCATGACAGATGAATAGTGAAGGTAAGTTTTGGGAAGGGATGTCTGGCGGGGGGCACATGTGTTGTTGAGTGTTCATGCTTACATAACATAATAATATGGAAACAATTTAAAAGAAGATTTATGGGAAAATTTTAAGAGTCTGCGATTAAATATGGAAAGCTTTTATGATGGTGTGGTGTTGGAATCTGTGAAGTAATTCCAAAAATTGAAGATTGAGAAAGATTTGTGAAGTGACTTTGCGTGACCAAAGCAAGTAAGCGCATCAAAATTTACTCATCACTGACTGCAAGCATTGCAATTTGGCATCGGGGCCTCATTTTAAGTGCAAAGCTTCCGAGTGCCAGTGCCTAAACTCAAATCATCAAAACTCATACGTATATGTCTCTGTGGGTGACGACTGTGAGAGAAGAAGATAACCATTACAATATATAGATTCCCTCTTTTTCTCTGCACTGCTCTGCTCTGATCTGATCTGCTCTCTTCTGCTTCTTCTGCTCCTTCTGCTCTGTGTGGCGTGGGTTATACATTGTACATTGATGATAATAGGGCTTGATTTCTCTCTCTCACTCTCCCTCTCCCTCTCCCTCTCCCTCTTTATGTGTTTTGGATCACACACTTTGTTGGACCATTGTTCTTGAGCCTCAAACAAGACATTCCATCGAAACAGCATACTCCACAGACCTTCACTTGGGCTCTTTGTCCTTTGATTGTTTGGAATCACTACAAATAGCCCAAGATAGTATGACGAGTAACTGGGCTATGTCAAGCCCATGTAAACTTCTACAAAATCCAAATGTCAGTGGACCAATTTGACCACAGAATTTAAATCCAATGGTCAATAAATTTGAGCCTTACCCTGTTGAAATTGGGCTTTGTTGAGTTAAGTCCATATTTGCATCTTGATTTCAATAATTTTTTTTAAAAAATACAAGTAATAGTCTAAACTACAAGAGAATGAAGTTTCTCACTCCCACATACTACCAAAGTGTCATAGAGATTCAAACCTTGAGACCACTGATTTGTAAGTCAATACCCCTTCTCAACCCCACAAACAATTCTAGCAGTCAATTTACTTCAGATAATTATGGGTTAATTGAAGAGGGAAGCATACTTTAGTTTAAGCACATTATACTACTAGATCTAAATTTACCCAGGAAATGAAAATATTGCAAAGCAAGGAACAAAAGAGAACCAACAAGAAAAGGCTGAGATTCCATTCTGTTCTATTATTGTATAATATATTCTCTGTCTCTATAGTAGAGTAGAAGTAGTAGAATAAAATAAGTTATTCCCTGAGCATCTCACAAGGGTATAGACAAACAAAATAGGCAAAAGTGTATTATATAGCCTGACGTGGCATGTTGCATATTTAGTTTCCTCTTCGAAAAACTGCTTATTCCAATGGACTAGATAAATGAACTAGGTAATACAATATTATATTATTTATTTTCATATTTACCTTTACCTCATTTTACCATCACATAAAAAAAAAGGGTATTTTTAATAATAAAAATATGTGGGACTTAATATACCTATTCACTTCGAAGTATGAAATATTACCTTAAAGCATGAAAATTTGGACGTGACAAGGTAAATGAAGTTTGCCTACCCTTTTACCTTTTTCTTCGGAGATGCTCAACCATTCAATTAACATCCAAGAAAAGGACACTTGGGGGCCTATTTGACAAAAAGAAAGTAAAGGGTGCCCAAAAGTTATGAAACGTGTCGAATGTCGAAGAAAAGAACACACAGAGATTGGCCATAATTTATGCTGATCATTGGAGAAGCGAGTGAGTGAGTGAGTGAATATGACAAGGAGTCGTCAATGTTATGAAATGAAAAACATGAAAAGCTTTCTATCATGAAATTCATGATCAGACAAATGAGTGAGGTGTCAGGCTTGGAGTGGTTAATTCCCATTCATGCATCATAATCCATGGGGTAAAGTGGTTTGCATCTTCCAAGATTCCTTTGGTTTTTGTCTTTGGGGCATTTTGTTTGGCATTCAAATAAAGTAGTTTGTGCTTAAAACCTGGCATTCAAATACTCATGGCCAGCAGGCAGCAGCCACATGTATGGTAAGTAGTAATTGAATCGTGCTCTCTCATCTCTTCTCCAATAGTATTTGTTTTATTATTAATTTTATATATAGGTCTAATAGAAAGGGACCCTTAATATCTGCTGAGCAACTCACTCAAACTATTCGAGATGAGGATGGAGTGGCAATATGCATGTTGCAGGAGACCTGGCCTTTCCTTCCATACTCTTGCTTGGTTGCTGCAGATTCTTAACTCAAGTAGCCGCTTCTTTTTCTTTTCTTTTCTTTCCATGTTGATATATATATTCACAGAATAACAGGCTCCTTATTTTAGTTGCAAATTCAGACTTTGCGACTCAATTCAATTTATGTATGTATCTATGTATATAAGTATATTCTTCGTGGGAGAACAGAAATGTATGTATATGCCAATGAACATGTTTCTCTCGTAGACCAAACTACAACATTAAATGGGTTATTTAGGATGAGGGAAAATGTTCTCTTACAAAAACTGTTTAGCAACATAAAATACTTGTAATATCATTCTCACCTGCTTTACATTCAAAAACATATATTTATACACACACATCAAACAAAAGGTTTGAATTTAGAATAATAGCAATGTTTAATTCACTTCACATTTTGAAAATCTTGATTAACTGGAGAATATATGGCATGCTTGCTAACTTATCATCGTGTTTGTATATTACGAGGAAGTGTTATCATGCGTGTCATAGTATTATTGGCCAGAGATAGCAAAATAGTGTTATCTCCATTTCATATGGAAGACTTTCTCCTTCCAAAGAGATACTTTTTTCTATTTGCAATTGTATGCCGCAATCAACAATAACATGTTATCTTCGATATTTCTCCCTCAAACCCTAACCCAAATTCAAATCCCATCATTTTATTTTATAATTGTATCATTCAAAAATTTGAAAGCTATTGAACCTCAACTAATAATAAAATCTAAACCCTAGCTCATGCTATCCAAATTTCTTCTTATTTTTTGTGTTGGTCATATAGGACATAACGTTGTGTGTCTCCATTAAATTAAATTAAAACACTTTTTCTGAGCTTGTTGATAAGATAATTTTTGAGTGCTACTATTTTCACACTCACTTTATCTTCCCACCCACCATATAAATTTTAAAAAACACAATCCTATTTTTCCACCCACCAATATTCCTAAAATACCCTTTTAATTATTACCTCATTTCCTCTCTCCTTTATTCTCTCTACTCATGTCTTCTCTCTCTCTCTCTCTCTCTCTCTCTCTCTCTCTCTCTCTCCACACATCTCTCTCTCATTTTTGCTCTATCTTATTTTCCATCTTTCACACTCCATCTCTCCCTGTCTCTCATGTAAACTATACAAACTAAAACTGTTTTTTGCTGTTTTTTATTTATTTTTATTTTTGTAAATATGGATTCTGTGAATATAATCATATTTATGCTCTTAGCTTTCTACTATTGTAAATAAACTTTTTCTCCAAAGTTATCCATGGACCAGAAATCTATTGAACTTCGCAATAAAAAAATATAAAACACCCATTCTTAACACATGGGAATGTCAAAGAGTACAAAGCCAAACAAATAGGGAAAAACAACAGTACTCGCCCAATTCACATGTCTCACCCTTGAATTTGTTAAAAGACCAAGTTCAATCATCATAAGATGCAATTGTTTCTCTAGTTATAACAGTAGACCTTGTAATATATATGAATTGTTGTACACGAGTAATTTTCCTTATGCCCTTTTAAGTCATTTTACAATAGGGTTAAATTTGTCTTTAAAAATTTAAAGATAAGATGAGTGGAAAAATATGACATGTGGGTGGAAATAGCAGCACTCTAATTTTTTTCCCTGCCTAATGTTAGAAAGCATGTGCATGCAAAGAATTACTTAGCACTTTAAAAGCTGAATTCCCATTTGCCCAAGATATTGTTATTAAGTAGGAAAAAGGTTTATATTCTTCATTCTCATTTACCCAATAAGGCAATGACATTAGATTCTACAATTAAATAAACAACTTTATGCTTTTAAGGGGATCACTTCTCTTAGCATCACAACTCAACAATTTAAAGTAAACTCATCTCTCTAGTGGGTTCTTCTTACACATGTTCTTTCCCCAAATAGACCACCCGCAATCTCTTACTTAATTAATTTGTAAGCCAAGCTCGTGAATATTAACTGTGAAGCTTCCTAGGCCTCTGGTTGTGCCTATATATATATATATATATATATATTGATCTCACTTTCAAATATATTGCACCAAGTTCCAACCAACACTAGCTAGTAGCACAAAACATTCATCCTTCTACTCTCTTTCTTTGACTCCATCTTCTACTTAATTGTACGTAGTATGTCAAGGATGGTGGAGCCATTGACGCTTGGTAGAGTGATAGGAGAGGTTGTGGACAGCTTCACCCCAAGTGTGAAACTGAAAGTAGTTTACAATCCCAACAGACAAGTTGCCAATGGACATGAGCTCATGCCTTCTGTCATTTCTGCTAAACCTCGCGTTGAGATCGGTGGTGACGACATGAGGGCTGCTTATACGTTAGTAAGTTTCAGCTTCACCAATTTATATATATGTACACAAAAACAGAAAATTTCAGTTGAAGTGATCCCTCAAATAAGCTCTTGTGCGTGCAATATTTTTATTAAGTGACTATTTTTGACTTTGGTTGTCAACGTGTGAAGATAATGACGGACCCAGATTTTCCAAGCCCCAGTGATCCTTACTTGAGAGAACATCTCCATTGGTTTGTACATTAATTTTAGTAAATTCATGGTTTAGATTTTGTTTCAATTCAACTAGAACTAATGTATACATTTATGTTTCAGGATGGTCACAGACATTCCTGGTACAACTGATGCATCCTTTGGTAAGTTTAATAGACAATGTGATATAGGACAAGAAATAGGGTTGCGCATTAAAGATATATAATTAAAATCTGTTCCTAATATACAAAACTAATTTGGTTTAATTATATGTGGAAATAATTAACAGGAAAGGAAAATATGGAGTATGAAGGTCCAAGGCCGGTTGTGGGTATCCACAGATACGTGTTCCTGTTGTTCAAGCAGATGAGGGGAAGAGAAACAGTGAGAGGTCCAGCTTGCAGGGACAATTTCAACACAAGGACATTTTCACAAGAGAATGGTCTTGGCCTGCCTGTGGCCGCTGTCTATTTCAACGCACAAAGAGAAACTGCAGCTAGAAGAAGATGATCAATTATTAATTAGTTAAATAATACCAAATAAACCAGCAATAAAATTAGATTAATGAATGCCATGGAGATTGATCTCCTGGTCTTCCATGAAGCCTGGAGGGAGGGAAGGAGAAAGCTGTTGTATTTCTATGATCGTACGGTCATGTAGTAGGTCACTGTTTATGTTGTTGTACCTAGGTTTAGGGACAGTGTTGTGTTGTGTTGGGTTGGTCCCGTAAGTCAACTTTTTAATTTCTGCTTTGCTGATTGGTGTTTTGGTGATACGATTCATGTAGCATCATAGCTACGTGTCACCCTGTGCTATATTCAAAAGTTACGTACGCAATTGTCTTTTAATGTGATGGGGGCTGATCGACCGCTATTATTATTATTATTCTTATTCTCATTTGCTTTTTTCTTTTTCTTTTTCATTTTAGTGTTGAAAAACATGTACCTCCACGATCATACTAATTCCATTTGCATTGTTTTGCTGATTGTTGAAAAACATGTACCTCCACGATCACACAAGACAGATGATCATATTTTTCATCCTAGTTCCTACCGAGAAATGGAATAAATAGGGTCAAGATTTGAAAGACTAAAATTGGGGAAAAAAGAAAGTATTTGAACTTTCTTCTTTTAAAATTGAGAAAAGAAATATTATTAGATTAAGAGTCGATCGGTCATAAATTTAAATCAAAAGAAATAGAAACAACGTAACTGGTTTTATTTATTTGGATACCATGCTCATACTGGTGCAACAAATTTTTTAAGAGTAAAAGCAGATAGACTAGCTGGACAAGTTTCCTAGCATTTTTAAGTAGTACACAGTGCGTGTTCATCCCAAGAAACCTCAAACCTTAATTGTGGGAAAGGAATTGCTGAGATGGAATAAGTAAGATAAGGTGGATGTAATTTGTAGGGATGGCGTGGGATCTTGAACATACAGGAAAGCACTACAGAAAATTACGACTACGAAGAGAAGAGCTTAAAGTCTCAGCCAGGGAAAGGAACGACAATGAACCGAAACCAAGCGTCTTTCTTGCCCCCGGAATTTGAAAATAAGTAAAAAATAAAAACACAATCCAACACATGAGATGAAAATCAAAAGGAAAACATGTAGTGAAAAGAATTTTCTTTTGCTTTCTTCACATTCAATTACAACCAATGTATAATGCCAAACATACAAATTTTACAGCCATCGTAAATGCCATATGATATGATGCCACCACCCAAATCATCCATGTAGCCGCCCGAACAAAAACCGGAAGCAAACACGGGTATGCATAATTTCACACTTGTGTTCTGTCCCACAAGGGATGATGAAACATACAGCGCCCAACACAGACACTGTTTGTTGTCGATTAAAAATTCCTTGACTGGAACATGACAAGGTAACTAAGCATCATATCACCAAGCTAAGTTAAGCATTTATTTCTGCATTGCACTGATGCTCCCTACTGCAGCTCCTCCTGCTCCAAAACATGCTTGAACAGCTTGTTTTCTCGAGTCTCGGCCCTTCCATTTTATCCTGGTCTACTGATGTTGCTTGCGGTCGTCTGGGCAATTCATCTTGAGTTCCAGCCTCCCGGGATTCAAATGGCGGGCACGGACCATCATTGCACGTGCACAAAGGAATGGTGACAGATGGAAACGGACTACAGGTGACTGGGCAGAGCATATCTGAAGAAACTGAAGCCACACGGTTCTTTCGGATCTCTGGTGCACAAGCTGGAGATAGATGGTCTGGATCACGAGGGTGAAGTATACATGGGGTACAAAGGCCAAGTGACATCTGTAATTTATTTTCCTTTGCTGGGGAGCCAGGCAATTTGACAAAGGAGATAATTCCGTGTCTACAAAAGGGGCATGGAATGGACCCGGGTGGGCCTGCCATTTCTGAAGGTATGTTGCTTGCTGAGCAAAGATAGAGTGCGCATCTTACACAAAGCTCATGCCCACACCCTGAAAGTACAAGTAACTAGAGGATGAATATAATCTAGTAAGGAAAATAACTGAATTTCTATAGTCTAGACACTTGGTATATGAACTGTGATAATGGAACAACTCATAACGTTTCAATATCAATCCAACAGAAATTGGAAAATACCCTAGTCTTCCCTTCAAATCCTCTCAAAAACATAATCAATGAAGAACAAAAAGAAAGAAAGACTTGTACCATTAAGGATAAATTTATGAAAGATCAAGCTCACCCATTAAGTAAGCAATCAATCACAATTATAAATACATGACTTTCTCCTAAATTTGTTGTTTTAACGATATGCCTGGAATGCCTTATTCATATTTATGCATATATTAATAGAAATGATTGGATACTCTGTAATTTTAAGACTCCTCTGTGATAACTTCCTTGATTAACTTACTCCTCTCAAAAATCTTTGGACAGTATTAGAAAGAAATAAACAGGCCTAATGAATCAAACATACAATCGGATTTACATCCTATATCAGAATACGTTATCATGGTAACATCGGAAGTCCTCTTGAGACTACTGAGAATCTCAGTAAAGGATTATCAGTAAGGAACTACAATGGTTATAAGACTAGCTCATAATACGAATATTCAACTATACTATGGAAAAAAGGTAATTTGGTCAAATATCAGGAAGATACAAACACATGACTGAGACATGAAAACACCACTATGGGACAAACCTTCTGCAGCTACAGAACATGCTCTTTCCAAGCACACAGCGCAGATATCTGTGTCATCTGTTGAGGATGTCACGGACTTAAATCCACAATCCCTGCAGTAAATTCCAAGGACTTGAGTTTATGCGGTGACATTGATATACTTGTTAAAGTTTCTCAAGTAAAAACTTCTGTAGAGAAGGGTTTTATCTTTCCAAAAGGCATAAGGCATGCAGAAACTTAATCGTATTAGTGTCAACAGATGTAATTAGTTGAAGCTTTACCTTGCTATGTTCAGTATGCTCATCAGAGGCAAGGACAGGTAATTAGAAAGGGAGAATGATGGTATTGTTGAGTCAGAATTGGGTGCTAGCAGTGGTTCAAGCCAGTGGCGCCCCCACATTCTGGCAACATCAGCAGGAAGCCACCTGAAAGAATATTCTTCAGATTAGTCATGGCTCATGTCAATAGTATTTGAATACCAACTGTGAAAACCAGAAGAACCATACCCATTGCAATTCAAAGTCGTCTTACTGGCACCTCTTGCAAGGAGGATCTGCAATATACAGACACCATCAGTTTAAATTCAAAAGAGAGCAACTATTGTGTTTAGACACCATCAAAATTGATATAATTCTTGCCTGACAGCATTTTAAGTTACCCCCACAAGCAGCATAGTGCAATGGAGAACTTCCAGCTCCTACAAAAATAAAATTTCACTTCAGTTTGAAGCAGGATCAGAAAGGAACATTCCTTCAGTTAAAGAACTAGTTACTAAACAACAAGCGAACCTATCAAATCCATAGAAGTTCCGTAATGAAATGTCACAGCTGATACATTCGCATGAAGATCAAGTAGGAGTTGTACGCAATCAAAATATCCATTCAATGCAGCCATATGAAGAGCAGTGATACCACAATCTGCTGCCTTATTTACAAACTTGGACAGAGCACTGCACTGGAATAGAATGAATAAATAACAAGAAAGAAATGTGTATCTAAAGGCACCCCTGTAAACATAATATATCTGATGCTGGTTTCTTTGAAACTTAACTAAACTATAAATATCTAAGCAAAATTCCCTCCATCAAGAATTTGGAAAGTAATCCCATTTCATTACTCTTTTCCATTTATGTTCCAATCGTGGAAGAATTTAAATTTACAATAAGTTTCCTTAAAAAAGAAAGAAGCTACACACATACCTTTGCTCATTTTTGCTCATGACATTTACACCATCACTTCTGTCGCTATCTATCTGAGTATTCAGAGATTCGTAAGAAGCACTTGGAACAAAGTCAGCCACAACAAGTCTTATACATCTTACATGCCCATTTACAGCAGCAAAATGAAGAGCTGTCCGGCCGGTAAGATAGTCTGCTCTAGTAACCTAGTATCAGGAAGAATATATGATTCAAAATTGGATGCAGAATCAGTTCTTTTTCTTAGTGAAAAAAGGACTAGAATATGTCAAAACATAACTGCTATATCCGGCTTCACTAGAAAAGATTCATGACTCAAATATTAGAATCAAGTTAAAAGGCTTTGCAGCTTTACAAGGCCCGTCTGGATATGGTCTAGAAATTGCACAAGCAAATTAGAACTTAGTAACTCACATTACATCTGAAGAGCAGGAGGGTTTGTACAACTTCCCAATGTCCATATCGGCATGCTTGCATCAATGCTGTCTTTAAACACAGAAATCAAATAACTTAATCAGCATTTGGTATCAAACTCGGAACGACAATTCAAGCCCCTCATGAGCTTCCATTTGCAATTCTAAGGTTCAATTTATGCAATAAAGCATACCAATCACCAATATTTCTAACCAAATCGATACCCATATCCCAAAATTCTCTCTAATGGAGATTCAAAGTCGCAAATTTAAATGTTATCTGATACACAGAGAAAAATTTAACGAGAAAAGCACCAATTGTCGCACCTGCCCACAGTAATTTCTGGAATTGACATCAGCTCCATTCTCGAGCAGCAAAGAAACAATCTAAATCAAACCCAAAAAAAGAAAAAGCAAATCTAAAAATTGGATAGCGGATCAAAAACGAACAATCACAAGCTAAAATAAATTAAAACAAAAACCAACCCAGAAGAGAAAAAGGAAAAGGACCTCGTTATGGCCTTTAGCGGCGGCGAAATGGAGAGGGGAGTTGAGGCCACCAAAGGTGGAGTATTTGGCAAGGCAAGGATTGCAATCTAAAAGCATCTTTGCCTCTATTAAATCTCCATCTCTCGCAGCCGAAACTAGTCGTTCTCCGGAGGCAGAGCACCCAAATGAATTGCCCATTTTCCCCTCTCACCACCCTCTGTCTCTCTCTCTCTCTCTAAATATATGTGTAAATATGGAAATGATAAAAAAGGAGGATAATTTAGGTCAACCGTCGTGGAACATTACTCAGTTACCAAAATCAGAGCTATAAATATATAAATAATATCATACCAGAGTCAGTGAGCCCACAACAATGGCAATGTGATTTGGACAATGGAGGATTTAGATATGGGATTTTGTCAGAAAAAGTAAAAACATTTGTGTTCAAATATTTTCTTATTTGGTATTCGCTTAATTTCATTTTCCTTGGTAAGAAAAACATTTCCTTTGCTAGTTGTCCAATTCATATGGTTTCTAAAATAAAAGGAAAATTATATTCATACCCTTCCAAACAAATAATTCCCTACTGAAAATTTATCCCATTCAGATTCTCTTGCGCGTTCGGATCAGAGATCCAACGGTACTAAGGGAAACAAGAGGCAAAAGAGATCAGGTGGTCCGCAGATCACTATAATCATGCGTGCAGTGCAGAGGCCGACCAAAAAGAGAGCGTAAGCACATCGTGCCAAGTCACATAAGAAGAAAAAAATCACGACAACTTTGATGCCTTTGTCCAAAACGGACACGTGGGTGATACTAGGTTGTCGATGATGAAGTTCACTCGAATCGGACGACTGAGGAGGCATTGATTGAGAAATAATAATAGGGTGGTATAGCTTTCAAGTGATAAAGGTGTGAGTGTCAGAGGTAAGATTTCTCTCATCAATAACTTCGTGCTGTACGCAAGGAATTAGGTGAAGGTTCGGTGGGGCTGTGGGCCTATGTATGTGGGCTACTGATTCGTAAGCTAACCGTTAAATTATTTTTGTTCTTCTAAGTTCTAACGTTAGAAAGGGAGAGGCGTTTTCACATACACAGTTAAAGTATCATAGAATTCGAATATAAGACTATTGGTTTACAAATCAATGTCCGTTTTTACTAAGTTAGACTCGTTAAAATCTTCTGCCTCAAAATAAATTCAACAACATGCATTAAGGCTGACGTCGTTAACAGATCAATCTACGAGGGTTTATTTTGGTCGGGCTGTCAACAACAATGGTTGGTGGGATCATTCTAAAATCGTATTTATTTTTAATACGAAACCACAAAAGCCTATCGAACAAATATATGATTACAAATTTTGACGTCATTGATGATATCGACTCTTATCGTAACACGGCTTTGAAAAATAATAAGGTTAACTTGCCTTACGTAGACACAATTACAAAACAGTCGTCTGTGAAATAAATGAATATATGATTCACGAATCACGGTTGTCTGTCAACCTTAAATTAAACAAATGGTGGTTGAGAATCTCCTTTCTTTCTCTTTGTTGTTAATTAATTCCCAATTGGGTTGGTCCTTTATTGAAGAAAACGGGTTTGAGACTTTCTTGAAGTTTTATGACTGGTGACAGAAAACCACTGTGAACTACATTAGTGTAAATTGTCAAGATATTTTAAAAAGCTTTTTGGTGGTGGATATCCATGTTACAAGATATTTTCAAAAGTTTTTCGGTGGATTGGATATACATCCTTTAATGGAGGAGGGAGGTACATTGGTAATCTACTTAACATAATTAAATGGACATATACTAGGTAATAGGTAGGTATTCATAACCTTAACCAAAATTATTGGTAATCAACAAAATCAATGTACAATTGCACAAGTAACAAATGACAAAACATCATAACCACAGACGTAGGTGAAACATGTAATGCAAATTCCGCAAAAAAGAAAAAAAAGAAACAGTGCAATAAATTGAAAACAAACATGCCCGTTTGTTTTTTATTGTTTGAGTAGATGAAGGAATGCATGTAGCCATTGCAGCACCGGAGATCATGGATGTGAGCATATGCAGGAATAGAGAGCCTTAGTCTGTTTTGGGATGCAGCTCTTTTTGTCAACAGCCCATGAACAGTGTCCTCCTATAGCTTTCATCCCTTGCATAGTTATAGTTTTGTTTCGGCTCATCACATTGTTTGCTTTGCTATTGAGTGCATGAATAACATGCTAACTAAACAAAGTTTTTTTAGCTGATTACCATTATCAAGAGCCAAGAAGGCAATTAATTAAGCAAGATCATGGATCGGTTTATTTCTTAATCTACTACAAAAGATATGATGTTTCACTCTACACATGCTCACTGGAACTATGAAAGTTTAAATCTATGTTCCTCCCATGTAGTGGCAAAACATCATATACATGTTGTTACTCAAAATCTCAGAGCTAGGTGGCCTCTAAATCTTTGGTTTCTGAACTTGTTGCTGACTTCAAAAGTTTTTCGATGTCCTTTGAGTCCGAGCTTCCGTGTCTAAGTTGGAACCATGTCCTGTTTGGTTTTAACTTTCTGTCACTAATGGCAATTGCAATGTCATTGGGGAAGAGGTCTTGGATCACAAAGCAGTGCAAGATTGTTGTTATGAGAAGAATGGTGACTATGATCGTGGCGGTGAGAGAGAGTATGACAGCCAGAGTTTGTGTTACCGCATTTGTGACCTCATTTGAGTACCTGATGGTTGCAATGGCAGCACCAGTCATTGGGAATGTATATGCCCACCATGTCAAAGAAAACCTATAGATCCAGATGAAAGTGAATGTTAGGCATTTGAAGTATAAATGTGCAATATTATTTTCAGATTATGTAGAGAAATTAATGGATGTGATATCTTACTTAAATCCTCTGAAAAAGTTAACCCGAACTGCCTGTACAAGCAGTGAAGAAGGATTAGAAAAAGTTAAGAATACTAGTCTCAATAAAATAAATGAATCAATAATCTATATTATCTTGGTAGTCCTAGAGTATTGGGACTTGATTCAGGTTATACTTGCCAGTGAGAGATAAAGGAACAAGGAAATGAAGTAAAAAATTCGTGAACCGTAATTGAAAGAGCCTTGGATTCTTCCCCATGCCATGGAAGCTACACTTGGTGCTGCAACAAACAGAAAGAAAACAGGATGGAGGTCCTTTGGGATAACAGTCTCGTTTGTTGGAAGCCTCTGGTAGAGAGTTACAAATAATACCATGTAGTGAGCCAACCCCCACAGCAAAGAAGAATATTGGTCCTTCTTTTAGTCCCATTGACGCACCTAGCAATGCCCCCACAAAATTCCCAACAATTGCGAGATGGTTAACAGGATTGGCTACCTTTGAAAGCCTACGTTGGCCTCCTGACATCCACTGTCCATAGATTTTAAGCTCAAGGCATAAGATTGGGGTCATGAGGATGTACCAAAGAGCTGGATACAGGTTGTTAGCAAATGAAGGTGGCACTCCAAGAGCTAAGAACAAGAGGGCTATCCATGGGGAAAAGAAGAAGTTGACACGAACAGGGTGGTAATACTCACGGCGAACTGCTTCAAAGTAAAGGATCGCTTTTAGAAGGTAGATACAAGCAACAACAGCTACAAGAGCAACTGAAATGCACCACAGAACTAGATTTGGTATTAAGCTTAAGTGGAGGAATTTCGTGGAGGCAGAGGTAGGAAGGGTCTTCCACAAAATAGCTTGGCTGCTAACACCGAGGCAGATGCTAAATGAAGAAACAGGATACCGGAGAAGAAATGGCCATTGTTTGTCTTCTGGAAGGAGTATTTCCTCTGAATCCTGTTTCATCACATTAAATTTGAGGAACAAAACAATATCAAACATTTGTAAATGCTTTTTTTTATAGATAAACATTTGTAAGTGCTATTCTTTTTTATATAGATAAACATTTGTAAATATTGAAGAAGAACATAACACATTACCCTAAGGGTTTCTAACTCTGGCCCTTCCAATGCATCAAAGTATCGGTCTGCAGGTAAACGTTCAACTTCTGCATTTTGCAGATTAGCATTCTCTGGTTCAGCCTCCCTTGGAGTCTTTCCGCGGAGTAGTGTTATCTGTCTTTCCAGTTTCCCAGACCATGTTTTGAAAGTATCAAACCTCTTATCTTTCAACCTTTCGATACTTGGATGGTAAGAAAAATGTCCAGTGCTAATTGCCTCCTCAAGTGCAGAGCTTTTTGGCATTGGTTGAGAGTGAAATTTTACGGCTTTGGGCAGTTTGCTGCCAGCAGTTTCAGTTGCGGCAGAAGAATTTGGAATTTCACTGAAGATCATATTTTTGCTGTTGTGTAAATGAATTCCGGTTGGTGATGATGGCATGCTAATAGAAACAGAATGGACCCTTTGATGAATCGGGGGTTCAGATCCATCAAATGCGCATTCTAAAGCTGCCGCCTCAATTCCCTGGTGTAAAAATGCATAAAACAAGTTACTATATGCATAACCCTTATGAACTTTATTTTTTCTTCTCCTTGTTTGGCAGAACGAAATAAATTTGTGAAAGCAATTATAGCATGTGAACTGTGCTACTGCCTCTTTTGTATTTAGTAGGCATGAAAGTTCAAGATGAACTTACTTTAGCTGATGGACTGATAGGTTGAAGGTGACTTGGTTGACAGCTGCCATTGAGAAATCTATTTTCCTCAACATTATCAAAGCCAGCCACTTCATTTGAGGATATATATCTGATGAGAGATGGAAGTTCAGGGGAATTCAGCTTTACAGAATCCAGATTTTTGCTGTTTTCCATCATAAAACTTTGGAGCAGAAACACATATGATGGAGAACAGTTCAACTATATGATGTTCTCTTCTAGCACTTTGTAATGCACAGCCTTATATAAACACAAGCCATGAGCTCTCTTTCGTTTTGAGGTAATTACCAAATTGTACTTTTCTAATCGAAACAACAGACGCATGGTGTGCTTTGAATATGACATCAAGCCTTTTCATATCAACTGTTGAACAAATAAATAGGATAATGAAAGATGGCATGACTCATCATGAGTATAAATTTTAAGTCAAACCAAGCTGAAAACTACATGAATAGAAACGTACATCAATGGGTAATCTACTCAAATATATTTATATTTAAATGGACATGGCCATGTGCAAAGTAGTGATAACCTTTAATTACTAATAATCAACCAA